GATGTCATTTCTGCACAGTGATGCTAGGATGGGGGTGACATTGGTGGGGCTCCTAGCCCACGCTTGTGAAGACGCCTATCCCGTATCAGCCCACTCTTGCCAGCTTTCCAGGCTGAGGTCTTCCCCAGCTTCCTGGGGGATAGGAAGCCTCAAATCTGCTTGCGTCTCTCGTGGGCAAAACAGGGTCTCTGCCACAGGACAAGGAGACTCCATACATCCACAAAGAATGGCGCAATTATTCCAGGAGGATGAAGCTGCATGGCATTATCGATGAAGCCCTTAGAGCGTTGTTTCTCAGCCTTGGCCACTTGAAGAGGGGTGGACTTCAACTCCCAGAATTCCCCAGCCAGCCATGAAGTCCACCCCTCTTAAAGCGGCCAAGGTTGAGAAACACTGACCTAAAGGATGGCACAAGCTTTGTTCTCACACACTGGCTGGGTTCACACAAGACGTTTCTCCGTCTGGGAGAGATTCAGTGACTGCATCGCATCCCAGGGTAACCCTTGGTTAGGCTTCTCGGCAGCTGCCTTCACAAGCGCACTTAACCCAATTGCTAAGTAAACCAGATTTTGGGCTTCACATAGTATGATGGCCATGGATCTAGCAAACGTGAAGGTTCATACTACCACCACCCCCAGCCCAGCCCAGCCTGTGTATGAATGCAGCCACTAGGTCTTTATGCAACCTGGGTAACCATGTGAACGTGGCCTCTGAGGGGGGCAGGTCAGAGAAGGTCTCTCACTCAGAGAGGAGCCAAAAGCAAATCTAAAGCTTGACCACTGGTGATTTCATGAACAACCCCATGGCAGAAGGACGGCGACTTTCCACTGCTTTCTTCTAGAACACTTTCTTTCCACTTCTCTAGAATGATTTCCTAGTGGTCTCCCATCCAAGTTCTACTCAGACCCGACTCCATTTAGCTTCTTGAAGGCAACCAAGGTCACTTGCAGCTCATGAGCTGCTGGTGGGGCTTCTCTTTGCTTCTTGCACAGGCGAACTGTTCACATTGGACCCCTGAACATGGGAATGGAGGAGTGGGGGGAACGGGGTTGTCCAAAAGGCTTCCTTCTTTGCACGGAGGGAAGGCTGCAGGAATGATGAACCCGTTCTGCGCCCTTCACTCGCTTGTGGAAGGCAGGTTCAGCCCGGCTCCCCCTTCAGTCGAGGGGGGGCAACACGCGAAGGTTTGGTGCAAGAAGCTGGTCCTCATGAGGGCTGTGGCCCCAAATGGAGCCTCCGTATTTAGACACCATCTACCTCGACTGAAAGTTAAGACGCTCGAAAACGACGAAAAGTTCACCCCGCGGCTGGCGATGATCCGCTGCCGGGGTCCTC